AATCTTTAAAAAAAAAAATAGATGTCACCTGAGGCTCCCGTCCTCTAAAGACTCGACTGGGGCTGAGGACTCCAAGATGGCGCACTCACATGTCTGTCTGCAGGGCATCTCCCCACTTGGGTCACTCCACCGGGCTGACTGAGCAGGCTCAGAACATGGCACATGCCCCATGAGGAAGTGATCCAAGAGAGAGCAGGAGGAGGCCGTGATTTCCTTCAGCCTAGTCACTCTGCTCTGTCCTCATCATTAGAAGCGAGCCCCAGCCCAGCCCTCACGGGGTCCTTTGGCCGTCTGGGCTACACAGAAATCCTTGTGTTCGTGGCCCCATTTCAGTGGAAGATCAACTTTGAAACCTTCATACTCACCTGTAAGTTTTCTCCTGACGGTAAGTACGTGGTCTCAGGCCTGGACGTGGACCGTGGCATCTGTATCACAGACGTGGAAAACAGCAGCACCGTAACCCACATCAAAGGTGAGCACCTTGCTCCGGCCCCCAACAGCTGCCCCCACTCCGCTGACAGCGGTGCTCAGCTGCGTCCCCCGGTGCATGGACAGGCCCTCGGCCTGAGATGGCGTGCTCCACGTGTCATCACAGACACAGCATTGATAGGCGCAGAGGTTAGGACCAAGAACAGGCCTCATCCACTCAGGCCTTCCTGTTCAGTCTCAGGCTGGAACAAATAAGTGTTCTCCTCCAACCTCACGTGGACATTTCAAGCCCAATCTTTTACCGCGTGGAGGCTCCGTCTTCTTAACATTTTTCGATCTCCATTTTTTTTAAGATTTATTTGTGCGTATAAGCACTGGGGTATAGACCAGAGATGTGGAGGTGGTGAGGAGGGGCATGAGAGGATTCACCGGAGACAGAGTGGGGAGCAGAACAGGCAGATCTACTGAAACATACTGTTGAGGGGGGCGGCGGGTGGGTCAGGAGAGGTCTGCTGCGCTATGTGGGTCAGCCCCCTGGCTGGGGATCGAACTCTGCTGCAGTGGCTGCAGGCAGCTTCATAGTGCTGCACTTTAACCCTTTGTGCCATCTGTTTTTAAATGATCAAGTAGCAGTTATGATTATTAATAGTGCCTATAGGGTGTTCCAGTATTTGACATAGACTGATGATTAGCAGTGTTATTATTATTACTGTTACTGATATCCCCGTCATTCTGTGGGTCCCTGCCTGCCCTGGCGTATCCCCTTAACACACTGGGGACCCCTGTTGTGGCAAAATGGATTTGGTTGTGCCCCTGTTTGAAACCTAGCATGGCACAGGCACTTGGGAAATGTTTGCAAATGACTAGTCCCTTGTGCAGACCAGAATTGGGTTCAGTGCTGGGAGAAGCAAGGGGCTCTGGGCCAGCTGAGGAGCACGACTGACGAGCCACGCTCCCCACACCTCAGGTCATCACCAGAAGTCACTCACTGCATGCTGCTTTGATCCCGACAGCCAGAGGGTGGCCTCCGTGTCCTTGGACAGGAGTGTCAAGATCTGGGATGTCATGTCTCAGGCCACGGTGCTCACCATCACCAAGTGAGGAGGGGTCCGGGGGTCCTGGGAGATGGGGTGACCTCTTGCCACAGGGAGGTGGGTGGGAGCCCATGACACACTTTCCTGAGCATAGAACTGACATATAGGCCAGAGGGTGAGAGGAGTCACCAGAGACAAGAGTGGGGAGAAGAATAGGCAGACTGACTGAAACACACTGCTGAGGGGAGCAGCAGGGAGACAGGAGAGGTCTGCTGCGCCCTGTGGGTCACCCCTGGCCGGGGATCGAACTCAAGTTGCAGTAGCTGCGGACAGCTTCGTGGCCCTTTGCTTTAACCTGTTGAGCCACTAGCTCAGGCCCTCACTGGCAAATGATTTCTAACAGATGGGTCACAGGACGTACTTTGAGAACCACAAAAAAAGAAAAAGCAGCAAGATTCTGACAGTTTTTTTTTTCTTTTCAAAAAAAAAAAGGAAACCTGTCAAAACTGAGAGTGTGTGGCCTAAAACTGTCCTAATTAAACACATATCACAATGTACATAGTGATACTGAAGACAGATGAGAGAAAGAAGGAAAACGAGAGAGAATAGTTGGGGAGAGAAGTTGGGGAGCCTGAGAGAGGCGTGGGGAGACCGGAGGGCCGAGGCTCATGTCCTGACGGGGAAGGCGGTGGGCGCCTGCAGGAGAGGCCCACTTCCCGCATGGACCCAGCTCAGCTCCTGGAAGACTGTCCGTGAACCGTCACTGGCGGCTTCCAGCTGCTCAGGCAGCTCTGAGAAGTCCTGTGGTTCTCAATGGTGGCGCTTTTGTCCCTTGCTGGATAGAGTCTGGAGACATTTTTGGTGGTGACAGCTGGGTGTGGGGACTGTTGTCATCTCAGTAGAGCCCCCGGGTAGCACAGCCCGAGGACAGGGAATCACCCAGCACAAGCTGCGGGGCTGCTGGAAGGGAGTGACAGAGCAGCGAGCAGGAGCAGAGCTCAAGGGGTGACGCTGTTTAGGCCTCGGGGTCACGCC